TCATCCAGACAGTGACTTTCTACTGTTCAATCAATAATAATATTAATTATAGATAATTATTGTGATAGGAAGGCATGACTGTGGGACTTCATTTACTCTTGAGCCTAATTATTGATCAAATAGTGAAGACTTGGTTGAGTTCAGTGCTGGATAAACAGAACTCTTTGGGGACCTTACCTAGTTTTATGATATTTGTGCTATTGTATAAATGGGTAATTCCTGGACACCACTTAATGTTTATTCATACAATCCAATGGTAATAAGACTCATGTAAATGCTTCCACTCACTTTCCTTAATTCTATATGAACCAGATGCAAATTACATTTAGTAAAAGAGAATATATATGGGGCATCAAATCTAATATTCCTTGATGATTCAAAGTTCTAGGGTATATCCAGTATATTGTTTGCATGTATAAGAGGCTCTTGGTGCTCATTACAGTGAATAAAAGTGCCTGGCCTTTAAATTGGCCATAGTATACAAATGGGTGGTGAATGCACTTTTCAAGTGCAAGCAAAAACTGAGACCCCTGCTTAATTCCCCAGCAATTTCAAAATCTAGACATGGCCCATGGCCAGGTGGTGGTGGCGCACTCCTTTAATCCCAGCACTCCAGAGGCAGTGGCAGAGGCAGAGGCAGATGGATCTCTGTGAGTTCCAGGCCAGCCTGGTCTACAAAGCAAGCTACAGGACAGGTTCCAAAGTTACACAGAGAAAAATCTGTCTTGAAAAACAAATAAGAAATGAGTCTAGATGTGAGCTTTCTGACTGTCACAGAAGGATAATAAGCAAGAGCAGAATCTTGTGATGTAGATGATCATGGAAGGTAGTTATTCAAGGAACCATATTGAAATGATTCTTTCTCGGGATTTTTAAGAATAACTCTTCTCACATGTTAATTTCCATATTGCTCAAAATAACTTACTGAGTTGTTTTAACATAAATGAATAAAATAGTTGAAACAATCACAAAATTGATAAGAGAAATTAAATCACTAAAAAATATATGTCATTCCTGAGTTTCTTTAAGGTACATCTTGCTGCTATGATCTTTCAGTGAGAGAGTAGGTTTTTCTCTGTACAAGGCAGAGAAGTTCACATTTTCATTTTGTTATTTTTTCTATTTTATTAATATGTGCAAATGGTGGAATCCAGGGCCTCATATGTACTCCACTCTGGGCTACATCCATGGTCCCTAAACTCAATTCTACAAGACTCAGGGCGTGTGGCTTCCTGATTTTAATCCTAGGCTGTCATTTACTACCTATAATCTCTCTCTGTGCCCTATTCCTATACTTATAAAACTGAGACAATAACACACACCTAACGGAGCTATGCAGGAGCTTAGTGATAATAAGTAGGAAGCAGCTGGGATGTACTGAGCACTCTTTACAACGGCCGTTACCAATATCCCCTTATAATTTCCATAGATTGGCTTATCTGTGGTCACATTATAATTTATTAAGGAACAATATTCTTTAAATTCCTTCCGAGGATCTGAAAGAAAAGTTTCCATCTCCAGCTTAATTAAGATGCCTTATGAAAAGCATATTTTTGAAAAATGATGTAAGACATGGAAACCAGAAGCATTATCTTGCTCTTGTTATTTGACTCATCTATTTAAAAACGCCACACATCACACACATATGTACACACTGACATATACACAAATATACATATGCATACATGCACAAATATAAATACACATGTATACATGCACATACACAAGTATATATACACATACACACATGTACATACAGACATACATATTTGCACAAAAACACATCAGTAACATCTAATAATCCACTATAAGTTCCCCAACAAGTGCTTTTTCATAAAGGAGGCTAAATGTGACCTAGTATTCTCATAGAGCTCTTACTATTCAAAGCTAAATAACCTGAGAGCATAATAATGCAGAAAGCAGCCTGAGGTTCCTTTGTCTTTGCTCAGGTAAAATCAATTCAGTTATTATCCACAGTTGGGCACAGAGCAGCATATAAACAGCATGGCTTCAGCCAGCAATCCCTCTCAGAGAGTGGGTTGCATGGCTAATATTCCATACACTGATTTACTAAGCATCATCAAGAGAGAAATGGAGAAATTCATCTTATGTAGGGAAATTCATTCTAGAGAACTATGAAGAATTGTAAGAGACAAGAGGGAAGAAGTATCAGGACAAAGTCCTATAAAATCAAGTATTCTCCCTGCCACTATCCTGGGGCGTTTGATCCAAGGCAGAATATCCAGGTCTAACATTTCCCCCTCTATTCTCTGTAGACGATTGCCTGCCATAGTTCTTGTGAGTGGGAAGGGAATAAGCCACCAACATGATGCTGAACATCAGAGGAAAACAGAAAGACAATGCTGCCCATCAGAGAAAAACAGAGAGGCTCCAGAGAAAGTAAGCTTGCTGGTGAGTGTGTCATTGTGAAATCCGCAGAATAGACTCATAATGACTAAAACTGTAACAATTAGCCAGTTGAGATAACTAATAGGATCTGAGAAGATGTAAATAAGTGGGTTTCCTATTAAGAAAGAGAATGAAGAAACAATTTCCAGCAGGCAGGAAAAAAAGGTAAATGCTTTTTCCTGAAAGGCAGAACCAAGATTTCTCAAATTAGTTTCTTCCTAAAATGGATAGAAGTAAAATGCATGGAGCAACACGACATAATGTGTTCATGCCTAAATGTGATGGTGACGCCATCCTCTTCTACCATCAAGCTGTAGATGAGTGAATGCAAGACAAAACGGAACACAGAAGCAGTGTGTCTGGGAGCACCAAGAACGGGAGCTTTAGAACGCGCTGTGTGTGACAAGACAGAGAATGTGAGAAGGGTGCAGTGCCACCTCCGAGCTGATTAACAAGAGTGCTGAGCAGAGCGAGTGGATTTACAGAGATTAGGATGTAGCGAGCTTTGTCTAGAAGATTGAGCAAAGTTCTTATTGGCCTCGAATCTCAAATAAGGTGGAGCCCTGCCTTCCATCAGAAAACACTCCCTGTGATCTCTTCTGATACATAATTTTGTTCTATTAAAAAATAAAACTTAGGCTATGCAAATGGATCCCTATGACATTTCTTGTCCTGGATGGGGTCAAGGGCAGGAGGTAAGGGGTCAGTGCTATGATTCTGATATCTCAGTATAGCACAGATACTTCAAATACTTCTTAATCTGAGTTGTGAATAAACATAGTCTTCGATGAAATCTAAAATATGGTTTCAAGACACACTAGGACAAGTCAGACATTTAAGTCAGGTGAACATCAAGAACTTGGGTGCCGATAGGTATAAAACTCCGAGGAGTCCACATCAGACTGTTTCACTGCAAAGGCCAAAATCATTTCCTCCAGGATCCTGGCAGCAGAATATAATAATTAAAGGAAGTAAGGAGACGCGTGATGAAAAAGAAAGAGGAGAGACAAGAGTGCAAGGGAGAGACAGACAGGCACAGATGAGAAAGACAGAGGGACAGAGGCTCCTCAAACACAAGTGCTCAGAAATCCAAACAAACACATGAATAATGTCTAAAACCAAGAGCCCAGACAATAACTCAGTGTCTGTATTTCTCTCAGGGCACCATGAATTAATTCTGGGAATAATGACTAAGGAAGCACAGTTGGGTAAATGATGCTTTCCGATATTGAAGCTGCCAGGCAAAAGTCCCTGGCCCCGGTTGCCTGTCATCTGAAGGTTGGGAATCACTGTGTCAGGGCTCTGTTACGTTCTGTGAACATTTAGAGAGCTTGCATTGAACAGGAGTACAACTTCAGTAAAGAAAGGCTTCTCTGACCTTGTCTGTGTAAACATCATCACTTTGGACCCAGGAGCAGAAGGTCCTGTGATAGAAAGAAAGCCAAGAATACTAGCACATGTGTTCAAGCCTGGGTACTCCTGGGGGTCAGAGACGACTATGTGACAAGACAAAATGAAAGAATAAATAGAAGTAAAACACACTGAGCAACATGACAAAATGTGCTCGTGCCTAAATGTGGTGGTGACACCAAAGTTTGGCCCAGGACAGTTCTCTGAATGTTTGTTCCCTTTGAGAGGAAGAGGGGCATGGGCTCAGGGGTTCCTCAATCGAAACATGAGTCAGTGAAGGGTGACAATGGCTGCATGGCTGTGGATAAGGCACAGGTCTCTGGAGCCACAATCCAGCCACCTCTTCCTTTTGTTTGACTTCCTTGGCAAGATTTTCCCTGCTGCTTTTGGAGGGAGAAAGATATTTTGAGTATGAAAGAAAATAGCATTTATTGATAAATAAATTCAGTGTATGTATGTGTATCTCACTCCTAAACAGAACTACAAAGATGTAGGGTTGCATTTGCTGCTCAGTTTTCCAGCCTGGGTCCTGACTCACGGATGAATCTCCTCATACACAAAGCTGACTGGCGGGAGGGGTGGGATTGAATAACAAATCTAAGTGATACAATCACATCATTTACAATCACATAATGGACCATATCCCAATTTTCAAAAGGCATAAAGTATCCTCATTAATACGATAAGTGCAGCAGTCAAATCAGCGCTGTGATTTTATCAGGGTTTTTGACTATACGTGAATTAGAATGTAAAATGCATACAGAATTTTTAATGGGAAGGCTTTAACATTCACTGAATGTATTTCTTCCTGTCATTTGCATCACATTAAAGTGAAATTCTACATAAAAGGATAAAGAGAATATGTCCTAAATTACAGTTCTTCCATAGTTGTCATGTCCACACATAGAAAAATCTGATTCATAGGGTTGAGTATGATCCTAAATCTGAAAAGGCTGTGCCAGTCCCCTATTTGTTTGTGGGTTTTATGCGGCTGTCAAGGCTGAGTAGAGCTCTGTAAGGTCATATCATCAGGACAAAGCTAATAAAGATCATAGCAAGGGCAGGGGGAATGGGGGGAGGATTGTAATCGTATGCATTGTAAGTACAACATTATTAAATACCGTGCCTGCATTTTTCATACCACAACACACTAGTAAAAACTCACTCATTTTCCTTAGAAGTACTGTTCTTTCAAAAGTATTTTTATTTTTATTTCAATTTATACTATAACTACATTATTTAAAAAAAGTATGGGCCATCACATGAGCACACTGCAATAGTCACGCACACAGACTTAATGATTTATAATATTAGTTCTACGTATTCCCCCATGCATGAGTATGAGTATTTATAAGAATATTCCACAAAAGCTTGCTTCATATCTAACATGTTTGTACATTCTTGTGGGTAGAAACATGATTCATAGGTTAAAAGTTAAGTTGTAAACAATGACAATTAGAATCAGAGTTCTTGGTAGCATTTCTTCACTTAGGCCGCAAAAGAACTTCCATTTTTCATGATCCTTTTGTCATCCATGATGTAGGGCATCTGGTGGAGAATTCTGGGCATCTAAGACAGAGCACTTTGTGTCCTAGATGTCCCACTCTGCTCCTATGTCGCTGTGATTAAACTCTGACCAAATGCAACGTGGAGGAGGGAAGAGATTAGCTGTCTATTGATTACCTCCATCACTGAGGAAAGCGAAGACAGGAACTCAAGAGGGGAATCTAGAAGCAGAAACCAAAACAGTCCATAAAAATGTTGTTACTGGCTTGCTCTCTATGGTCTGATCTGTTTGCTTTCTTACACAACCATGTACTACATGTCCAGGAGTGATACCACCCATAATAGGATCCTCTCACATAAATAGTTAATTAACTAAATGCCCCCAGAGACATGTCCACAAGTCAATGTGGTGGGCACTCTCCCTCAATTAAGTTTTCCTCTTCCAGATGACTCTAGTTGTGTCAAGTTGACAAAAATTAACCAGCACCCTAGAAGAGGTCAAGATGTCATCTACCAACCTGGCAAAACAGGCTGAGAATAGAGTGTATTTGGTGCATATATGTGACTGTCAGTCTGTCTGGCAGCACCCTCAGCACACAAAGAAGAACCTGTACTGAATTCTTTATGTATGTTATCATTTTAGACTTGCAGCAAGCAAACACACTAGCATGCAACAAATAGAAAGATGTGAACTGAAGTCAAATAGTTCAAGTTCAAAATAAGCTACTTATTGCATTTTTCCCCAGAAAAAAAAATGTGTGTATAAGGAAGGGTCCATGCAAAAATGGCCAATCATCCACTTAAATAATTTTGTGATTACTTTGTTTTTGATCACAGATTGCATAGAGTAGTGTTCGTTTGGTGGTGATGATCATAGGCGCTGATAATTTGACTGATGTACTTCAAATATGCAGAGGTAGTTTGTAGATATACATACAATGTATATATGCATAATGTTATTATTTATTATCACTATTGGTAAACTATAGCTATTTTTCCATATCTCAAACAGTTTCAAAACATTTTAAAAACAATATCCAAGTGAAGAAATGTCAAGCTTAAGAAGTTGAGTTCAAATGCTTGACACCTATGAAAAAAGCCATGACACACAACTGTAATCCCAGTGCTAGAGACAGAGAGACACAGGAACATCTTGCTGGGGGACGAAATGGATAAGCTCCAGGTTCATTGAGAGACTCTGCCTCAAAACAATAAGGTGAGGAGTAAAAGACTGATAATAAAAAAAGACACCCGACATCAATGTGTGGTAGAGATGGGGAAGATTGGCTAATTAAACGACCAGAGTTAGAATTTACCCAAGGCCCTGAGGCCTTCTCCCTTTCCTTCCCCAACCTTCTCTGTGTTTTTTCCTTTGTGATACATTTTGGCTTTCTGAGACACGGCTCACTTTGTAGGTGAGGCTGGCCTTGAGTTCACTGTCCTCCTGCTTCTTCCTGCAGTCCTGGGAGTGCAGCTGTGGACTACCACAGCCCATGTCATCAGTCTTCTTTGCCCCCTCTTCTCTACTTCGTGCGTTTTGTATTAAGTTTGGAGTTGGAATTTGAACCAAAAATGTATGCAGGTGTTATTTCATTTTTGCCACAACAATAATTTTCAATACCCCAAATAATTTTTAAATAACAATTTTAGGGTTAGAGGGAAATTAGCAATAATTAATTAAATGTATTCTATCTTACACAAATTGCTTGTACACCACATGAAACCCTATTTTTCTTTTGAAAACAGTTTGTGAAACTGTTCCCTGTCCATGGTTAAAACGCATCACTCAGGGCAGCAAACCAACCTTCTTTAGTACAATCAGATAGGCTTTTGTTTTCCATCTAGTCACTGATGGTGCTAGTAAAACTCAGAAATTTGAAAACTAAATAAGAACAAAGAGTGACTCTGTTATTGTTTAACAATAATCAACAATTTTATAACAATTTATTAAACTCTCTTATTTTCATGATTTCCCCACAAAACACCAATACAGATTGATCCTTTGTGCTGATATTTCTTTGGTTTTTAAAGAATTAAGGTTTTCCTATTCTCACCTCCTAATTCATCTGCAAAAAACACCAGAACATTACTAGCTAATCCATGCGCAGACAGAATATACTCTTTCTGCAATGATATTCACTTGTAAATAATAGCAAAGTAAATTGAAATCGGTTCAAAACGCCAGATATGTCTGAAGCATTACATTTAAATGAAATCAGTAACCAGCTATCTATCTCAACAGAGTCAAGTCTGTGCCACACTCTTTCCCTCTTCCTGATGCATGCTGTTTGTTTATGGCCTTAGTACCCACGCTTCACCCTTTTCTCACTCATTCCCATCATAAGAGCTGTCCTAATATTACCACATCTGCATACGTTCGACTCACCACCCAATGGTTTCTAAGTTGACTTGAACTCTTTACATTCACTTTCTTTCTTCCTTCTGGCCAGGTCCTATGCAGTTGCTGCCCCTGTCTTCAGATACGCACACAGATCTGATTGATTATTTCTGGTTGCTACATTGCAGCGTTAAAATTTATTGTGCCTCAAACACATTTTTGGTCCCATGGAAGCCACTCAAGCATGGTAGCACAACCTGTGGCTCCCATTGTTGTTTGTTGGCTGGGCTGTGGGAAAGGACTAGCTAATATGCAGTGTTTGCACAGCTTCTGTTTAAACCCTCCAAGGAAGATGTTGTCTATACTCTTTCCACCTCTTAAAGAGGCAGGGCAAAAAGGCTGAGTAAGGTCAGCTGTTTAACTAAATGAACTGACCTCAAGTTTACTAGTTCTTCCTGTGGATTCAGTTGTTCAAGTTCAAGCTTTCTCTGACAGAATTGATTTATACAGGCATCCAAAGTCACGGGTGTGATCCTGGCAAAAATAAAAACTTGCAGATTTCTATTAAATGGTATTGAAAATAATAGAAATATTAAGAACAAGAAATACATACGTCACTTCATTCATGGGTAGTTTTGTATAGCATGTCGGTATAATGGAAAATACCTGGGGCCTTCCGGGCACCATGTTCTTTCACAGCTTTGTCTGGCCTCTTTTCCTGGTTCATAAGAACACACCTGTAATTTAGAAGTCAAAGCATTTATAAAGTATATAAGTTGGATTACTAATTCAGCAGCATTGATAATCAAATGTCTTTTATCAGTTGTTGCTCTTTCCACAGCAATTAAACAATTCAAAGACAACACAATAGCATACAGTATCCAGACTCTGTGTATTTTCCATATTTATGTGGCTTTTTTATTACTCTATTTCTTTTACTTTTATTTATTTAGCTTGTCTCTGAAACAGGGATTCTCTGTGGAAATATGCCTGCCTCTGCCTCTGCCTCTGCCTCTGGAATGCTGGGGTTAAAGGCTTGTGCCACCACACCCAGACATTATCCTGTTTCTTTTTCTCTCCCAAGCCTATGTATATATTTAAAAACACTAAAAACCTTTTAGAGGTTTTACTTCATCTGAATCTGACTTTACTGTAAATCTTTGTTTTTCTAGTCACATGTCTTTTATCTGCTAAAAGCCGTGTCTGTTTTAACTGTTGTCTTTGCAAGATGGCAGGCACTGGTCCTACAAGTCTCTGCTTGTCTCTAGCAAACCAGAGCCCACTCGAGAAAATGCTGCCACCAAGAAGCTGTGCTTCTCTCTGTTTTTCTGGTTTTAAAATCCCTTTTAAGCTTTTGTTAGCTTTACATGGAAATTCTTGCCGCACATTGAGGGTACCATATGTAACATGCATTGTTCCCACCAGCCTGGTCCCAGGGCCACATCAAGCCCAAATAACACATAGAGACTCTGTTAGTTACAATGCTGTTGGCCAATGTCCAGGGCTTCTCATTGGCTAGTTCTGTCTTAAGTATTAAAACATAACTACTAATATATATTTCTATAAGGTCTTATTTTACCAAGGACGCAAGCCTCATGCGTCCTCTCTTTCAAGGATCACATGATGACTCTCTATACTTTATTACATTTTCTAGAATCTTCCTTGACTCCTAGTCCCACCTATATTGCTTCCCTATTGGCCAACAGTACTTTTTTCATCAACCAATAAGACAAACGTATGCACAGAAGGACTTCAGCATCACACATCCTAGAGAAGGCTGCCTGAGTTGTGTGTATCTGCCTTCCTTTTCCAGGTAATAGATGCATTCTTCTTTTATTCCCTCAATCTACCAATCAGGATTACTTTTTCTTGGTATGCTTCAATATTTCAGTTGCCTATTCGGAAAGTGCTCTTCAGGAACAGACTATTTCATAGGTAGTATTAGAATCATCCGTCTTCCTCTTCATGAATCTGCCTTTCCTCCATCACATGGTTTTTGACAGGCTCTGCATTATTAGAAACCAGGCCTATCATATGACCTATCACAGGCTAGTGAACTAATATACCCAGTGATGTCTACTCTGACTAGCTAAGAAAGAAAAGCAGTTTTGTGTTCACTCATGGTTGGAAGACTCGGCCTAGAACTTGCTCCTTCCTTACTGTATTTCAGAGGGCCTGGGAGCCCAAGGGCAGAGGACAAAGTCTGGCTAAACCTGTTAATATTCTTCCAAACAGTTTGAGAAGTCTTTACATAATGCATGAAGGTGTTAGATAGGTTTTCTAGGCCCCACCAATCAAGGGACTCTTAAAGACTTCGCATTTTCTTCAAATCCTATACCACATATTTCAAGTTGGAATCCCTCCCCCCCGCAAAAAAAAAACAAAGAGCAAAAGATCAGAACTTAAGTAAAATACCATTTTCCTATCATAAGTCCACAGTCACTGTCTTCCCTGACTCCCTTGAAACCTGCCAACAATAAACTTCAGCAGCCTTCTAATTCTGTCAGCTAGACCCCATTTCCAAATATGAAAAAAAAAACAGGGATGCTTGCCCTCTTTTAAGGTCTTGGCTTCCCCAAACGTGAAAATGTCCTTCTCCTTATTGTTCGTAGGTTGGTGCTTTGCACTGTCCCTCATCCAACAATCCATTTCGTAGTCAAGCTACACTATGAGGCATAATACTGTGAACATAATTATGGGAAAGTATGGAGTTTTCTCTCTTTTCCTCCCACAGGAAGATACGTAGAAGAGAAATGCGGTCGTTACTTATTTTTATTCCTCTTGCTTATATCCACAGAAAATTCCACACTAGTCTGGTTGAGGCGTACAGGTTCTCACAAGATCGCTGCTCACTCCTTCTGTGTCCCAGTCAATTCCTCCTTTATCCCAGGCACTGGTGCATTGACACTGACACATTGATGTTCTCCTTGTGAGAATTAGCCTATCACATTCATTTACATCCACTTAATTGCTGCTGCTATTGTTTAGTCCGTTAACCTCCAGCTAGGGTGCAATTCACGTGAACACTGGGGAAGCACAACCATTCGATTAGTTCTGCAAAGTAGATTAAAATCTTCTGCCTAATTGGAGACTGTCCATACTGCTGCCTGCCTTCCAGCTCTGGGATGAATATGCAGTGTATCTTCAAACAAGGGTTCTTGGTTGGAACATGGCAGCCCCTATCCGAATGGATCAGGGTTCAGGAGTATGTGTCTATGAAGGGGACTGTGACAGGGAAAATGGTGGCAATTATCACCAGTCTGGTCTCTGCTGATTAGTCGCTTGCCTAGTTCATTCTTGTAAAGAGTGTGCATGCAACTGCAGAACCATTATCTTGGTATATGATTATATCGTTAACTTTCCAAATTCATAGGAAATTCATTTTAGAATGCAGTCAGTATAATCCTTATGAAACAGTTGTAGAGTTTGCAGAAGAGGAATGAGATCGAGAATATGAGTAAGACTTATAAATAAATATCACTTGATTCAAAGCATAAGGCCCTGCTGGACATGACTAATTTATACTGAGCCTAGCTCTGTATGACAGCAAGTCTGCTTTGGTGACTAAGTTTTTGCAGAGTAGTAACTAGGGAAGTCTTAGCACTTTCTTGGCAATAGATCTTTGCTTTGTTTCTGCTGAAGTGAGGTTCGTTAAGACGTTTGGTTTTTGTTTGCTTGGTTGGTTAGATTTTGGTTTTTCAGGACAGGATTTTTCTATGTATCCCTGACTGGCCCTGGAACCTGCTATGCAAACCAGGATGGCCTTAGAGACCTACCTGCCTCTTCCTCCTGAGTTCTAGGATTAAAGGTGCACACCACCAAGCTTGTCTGGGATGCTTTAAGATGTTTAATTATGCTCTATCTAAAAGAGATGAGATGCTTAGGTCCCTACTAAAGAATCCAAGACATGGAAGTGGCTCAGGTTTCATTTCATCTAAAATGCTTGTCTTGATTTACATTCAATCCATCTCTCCAGCACATTTTCAGACTTTCCTAAATTTTTTCTAACAGATGACACTCAATGTATTTGAGCTTTTATGACCTAGCATTCTTATGATGCTGTTCTGGTTAATGGGAAGGTGGGGGTGTGCTTACAGATATGATGCTCACATATAAGAAGTGCTTAGATTGACCTTTGGAGCCAATCTGAGATGCAATCTAAAAGCATACTATATGGTGTACATCAATCTTATCATTTAATTGTCTCAGCAGAAAGCATGTTTTACATCTCTTTGTAGATTGACCGGGACTCAGAAGGGTTCAATGACCCATATGAGGTAACATAGTCATATGTAACAAATCATTGAATTGAAATCCAATTCTAAATGCCTACAAGATTATTTCATTCCTACTAACTCCCAAAGAAGAGCAAAATCATGAGTTGCATTTTCAAGAAGGAGTAAATGTCCACAAGATGGGAAAGATGACAGTCAGTGTTTCCTCAGTTGGGAGCAACAAGAGTGCAAGATGCCGGGATGAAAGACTTCGTGACAGAACTTGTTAAGACTACAGGAAGTCTCAGAAAAACAAATTTTAAAAAGCTGAGGCCTTCCGATCAGCTTGTGACTAGGACCAGGGACACACTGAGACTGACTTGAGCTCCAATAATTCTAGAATTTAAAGCCATATTGATGAGTCTGTCTCCTCTGAAAATGCCAAGCAAAGAGGATATCAAAATCTCCTTGTGTTCTTTACAAAGGCTGAGGAAGTGGCAATTATGCACAAGCCCACAAATGGAGCCTGTTATGGACCAAAGGCTTCAGCTAATTTATCAATACCTCACTCTCTCTTCCCTGATTTGCCTTCCCATTTTACACAAAGAAGGGGAACAAGGGAGAGAAGGCAGAAACAACTGGAAACAAAGCCACAAATTTATAATTATCTCTCACATTGGAAGAGCCCCATGAGAAGAACACAAGAGGGGGTTCCATTTTATGTTGAAATATTTTCTCTAGTAATCAAGGTAGAAAACTGTTTCTTCACATAGATTCCATGTCTATAACTTTATTAGCATATAGTAACTACAGATGCATGTGCTTCATGTCAGGCTCCTTGAGCTTCTTGGAATTGTCAGCTGTGGAAAAGACAGAGGCAGAAGAGAAAAATGAAATTCCAGCCCTTGTCTGACCTCTTCATACATGTGCACTTACGGAGGCCCTCACATGGGAACACATTCACAGTATCTTCATGTCTCCAGTCTGGAGTTTCAGGGCTCAGGGAACAGATGCCTTTGGTGCTGATTATGCCAAAGAACCTGCCCAGAAAAGAAATGCCCTCAGACCCTACATACTATTTGTTGTTCTCAGTACTGTGACCAGGTGCCTGAGGATGACAACTTTAAGGAGGAATGTGTTTTGACTCATTGTTTCAGAGGATTTTCTCCATGATTGTTCATCCCAGTTTGAGCACAATATCATGGAAGGTGGAATATGTTGTCATAGAGAAATCTATTCCTCATGGCATCAGAAGAAGAGAGTGAAAGGGCTGGAGACCAGGTTCACATTTAAAGGCCAGTCCCTAACAACCCACTTTCTCCAGATGGGCCAGCCCCTGAGGTTTCCAGGGCCTTTCAAGGCAGTTCCACCAGCTGGGGAGTAAGTATTAACACATGAGCCTTCAGCTGTCATTCCATATTCAAATTCTAACACTCTGAAAGTGGATTTAGCACCACATGGGCAGAGAAAACTGAGATCCTCATATAAAGCATGGCCTACAAGTAAGGGTTCAGGATTCAGTTGGAAAAGTTCCTTTGTTATGTGGACCCCTGACCCTTAGAAGAAATAATTGGGACCAGAAATGTAAAAGTAATGGCTCAGCAAAGCTGGGACCATTCTTCCGTGGGTCTTAAAACAGCACTATACAAAATCCTGTATCAGCACACCCTGTTTGGGCACTGGACCTATCTTGGTGATTCAATAGTTCCATAGCATTTTAGGTGACTGCTATTATATCAGAGCACATGGCAATCCTCACAGGGCCAGTTTTGCAATGCACAGCAAGGTCTTTCACAGTGGGAGCATATATACCAACCTTAATTTTTAAACAGTTAAATGTCTCTGAAACTTTCATGCAGTTCACAGTGTTTACATATACAATGCATACATGAAGATTCAAACTGCCAGAAAACAAAGAAATGATTTTGAAACCCACTAAATTTTTCTAGTGTAAACATACTCATAGAGAGAGAGAGACAGAGACAGAGACAGAGACAGTGACAAAGAGAGACAGATGATCTTCAGTATTTTCCTGATTAAACATTTAATTCAGCAGAAAATCTAACCCAGGAACCTTTTTCTCTGCCTCTGTCTACCTGTAGGAATAGCACTTGTTCAATCAGAGAAGTTACTATGTTTAGAGGTGAGAGGTTAGTTTCAGGGCATTGGATATTAGGCAGCAAAATGGAGTGATTACTGAATGAAACACAGCAAACAAGTCACCCTGAGATTATCCCATATTATTCTCTTGTTAGTGTACTTTGACTACAGAGTAGAAGGCAAACTACTCCAAAGTATTTTCTAAAGAGAAGGGAAATGTATGTGTATTCAAAGACTTGATCATATGTGTATAGCAACAGTTGCATTTGTGATATCACAAAACTGGAAACAATTCCTATTACATAAATAAAATGTAACATACCCAAATGTTGACTAGTCCTCAGTAATAAAAATGAAGTAGTTATTGATGGTCCCACTGCTAAGGACCTTTCTATGCCACAGAGAGAGGAATCACAGATAACTCTCCCTAGAAAAAGAAACTGAACAATGAAAAAGAGGGCGTGCTAGACGGTCAATTTTTGTAAAATTCCTAAAACTGCAAATGAATCTGAAAGTGCAAAGCAGAGCAGCAGTAGTCTGGGTAGGATTGGAGGACTCTGCAGGGAAGGCAGGAAGCTTTGGGGTGATGGGTATGTTCATTGACTTTCGCTATGGTGATGGCTCTATATATATACATGCCCTCATATGTCAGAACTCATATAACTGTACTTTTTAAATATATGCAATTTATGTTATGTTAGTTTTGCTGAAATTGAGTTGTTTTTCAAAATGGAATGCTTTATTTTATAAGATGAAAGTTTCTATATCTTCTGTTTTATAACAATAGTGTATAAAATGTATTCGAGTAGGGATTTAGTTTACCTTATTCAGTTATGATTTCTAATGCCCCAAATTGGGAGTCACAGTTGCTACTTCTAAATAACAAATCTCTCCAAACGTAGCAGCGTAAAGTGTCCACCTGCTATGCCATGCAGTCACAGTGGGATGACTTCCATCTTTTTGTGATATTCAGGGTCTGAATACACTGTAGCTCCTCTGCATCACTGGGCTCTGTACTGTCAGGGTAGAAGGTACAGACTTAGGATGAATCAGTTCTAGGCTCCAAGAGAGATCAAAGCGAAATCTGGGTCCCAAAAGCTCACATTTACTTCATCATTTCTATTTGAAGCTGATATAAAGATTTGTACAGATTAAAGGTAAAAGAAAGCAAATCCCACATATCAGTGGATCATTCTCAACACATTGGTCAACACTGTAAGAAGAACAAACACATGCACAGAAGATTGTAGTGATGTAGTCACATTTTTATTAATTTATTTAGAATTGGGTCTTTCTATTTTATACCCTTAGCTGTCCTTTACCTCACTATGTATACCAGGCGAGCCTAGATTCAAGGGATTCTCCTACTTCTCTCTGTCTCTCACGTGCTGAGATTAATGATGTGTGCCACCATGTCCAGCTGATGTAGTCATATTTAAATTTCACTCTGTCACACAGTGTCTGGGTCATCTAAACTTATAAATGAGCATCGTTTGTTAGGATTTTGAAGTTACACAGGTATTCATTCATCCTACAGAGACTACATCCTTTTTATATTGTATGGACACAAGGAAGAATACATCATCATACACCATAGATAGTGTATAATTTAGTAAGACAAATACAGAATATGAATAAGGACAATTTGACATGAATGACAAAAGTCTTGGAGAAGATATTTACTACTTTCAGGATATACTGAGAAAGATGCCTGTGGTGTGTAGTAGATTGTCCCCTGCTGTGGTCACTCGGATCAGGACTTCATGAGCAATGAACAGTATCATACTAATCACTCAACAATGTGCGTAGGAATTTGATGTATAACTGAATTCATGTGTGCAAAGTGTGTTTGTGCACAATGTGTGTGTGCAACACAGGGTGTTGAGTGCCCTTCTCAATCACACTCAACCTTACTCTGTTGGAGGGGGTTGTCCTCACTCTGTCTGGAGCTAGGCTGGTATCAGGTGAGCCCCAGTGGTTGCCTTGTCTTTGCCTCACACAGTACTGGGATTACAGGTGCTCATGGCATTCCTAGATTTTTATATGGACTGTGAGGATTCAAGCTCATGTCCTCATGTGTCCAGCAAGGATTATTGCCTTTTAAACCATCTCCAGAGTCCCTAAATTTTATTTCAACATGGAAATTTAGATTCAGGAGTAAATGCAGCAGTCCTTGAAAAGATTTGCTGAAGATTATTACACTATTAGCATTCCCAAGAATTGGCATGATATTACAGGTGCCTGCTCTAGTATTCTAAGTGGAGAGGATTGTGGAATTTGGTTCATTGAGAATTATTTCATTGGCAAAATATTTTGTGATACAAAATGGAAAATGTGTTTGCATACATTTTAAACCTACAGCATCACCCACACATTATTTATAAATCATGGGCTCTACTATTATTTTTATGCATTGATAGATTTTGGCACTCTGTGATTTCTTTTGATATATAATTTACTATATTGACTAATACTGAAGAGAGACATCCACAGTAAATAAAAAGATTGACATTTGTCCAGCAAGAATACATGCTCTGAAGGCTTAGAGCATGTGTTACAAAAACAGAAAAGGAAAGATGAGAAAGGAAAGATGAGAAATCCAGTCTCATTCCTTATCAAAACTTCTAATTAGTGTCTCTCTCTCTCTCTCTCTCTCTCTCTCTCTCTCTCTCTCTCTCTCTCTCTCTCTCTCTCTCTCTCTTCTCTGCGAGTCTCTTGATTATAAATATGCCAAGGGGAGTTAGGAACATCTCCATCAAAGATGAGTTACTAATCATGAAGTAAGAATGGGAAAGCCATTTGCTTTTTTGTGGCTCTGCCTCTGCTGTGGTCCTGCCAGGCCTGCCTGAACATCAACGGAGTTCAGTGGTAATTAAAGCAACAGTGTTGTTAGAAAAGTGTGAATTACTTTTACAGGGAGCCTTGGATGTTGCTCCTGACTGACAAAGCACAGTGGGGAGCCTCTGCTGGATATTAAAGAGTGACAGTAGTCGGCCTCAGAAGGTGGCTTCCCAGCACAATGCAAAATTGTGACTTTTCACAAGTTGGTATCTCTGCCATCATCTGAGTTATCAGCTCAAATTTTAGATTTGTATTTTTTGCTTTGGCATGTCTGTGAGCAAGACTATTTCACATTCAGGAAATGTGGTCTTATGGCTGGAATTATGCAGAGCTAAGCTGTATTTTCTGTCTTTCTGTTCCTAGATTTTTTTACTCCATTATGGAATTATTTCAACCTTGAAGGTTATTGAAAATAGCAAGGAAAAAGCAATGAAAGGGTCACAGGTTTAAACTTCATAGCAAGTTGTCCTGATGTTAAGTGTCAAGGATATTTCTGTCATTTTCATTTTTAAAAATGTGTGTGTGTGTGTGTGTGTGTGTGTGTGTGTGTGTGTGTGTATGTATGTGTTTACTCATGCCCATATGGAAGCCAGAGAACTTGTGAGGTTTGTTTTTCTCCTTGTACAATGTGGGTCCTGGGGTTTAAAATCAGGTCATCAGGTTTAGCAGCAAGTGCTTTTATCAGAGGCACCGTCTCACCCACCTTTTTTGAAAGAATGGAAGATAAGCACTCTGTTGACAATGCCCAACACATGCAGCTCTGTGCTCTCTCTCAGGTACACGGGCTCCTTCCACCAGCCCAATCAGGAAATGCTCCCTGTGTGGCTCAGCCTCTCGTTGAGCCAGCTCCCACACAGATGTGACACATTGTTGATTCTATGCCTTATCTAACAAGAGGAGGAAAAACAGCATTAGCTAAACCTAATAAACTATCTTCTGCAGATGGGAAGCAAGAGAGGAAAATAGCTCAATGGACTATTAATCACTTTCCCTTTCATATGTGAGCAGACATTATCAGGGTTCCTGAGTCAGCTTCACAAAGCAGGTATGGCCTGGGCGAAGGGATCACCAATGTAGACCGGGCTGCACAAAATAGGTCATGTTGACAGACATGTGAGCCCGGGATGGTGTTGGGTTAAGATTATAAAAAGGAAGTAACAGCCTGCTAATATGCATGCCCTCTGTTTTGCTTAACACATTGTCTATAAATAAATTGACAAAATGTGACTCAGGTGTAACCAGCAGAGTAGTGTGTGGAATGATGGGCTTAGCCAAGCCAAAGCTAAGTGATGTCATGGATATCGTTGGCTATGAGGTTGGACAGTAGAATCTTCAGGCCCACACACAAACTGTGCAGCTCTGATTTCCTCAAGAGCCAAAATGTTATAAAATATTTTACTATTTTCTTTTTAAGATCAGGTAAATTAAAATGTAAAGGACAGCTTTACCCAAACCTCTTGAATTTAGGATGTAGTTGATGAACCTACCTTGTCATTGTCACTGTTTAAACTAGGTGCTATGATGAAGTGTGTGATCCACAGACTCCCCTTTGGTGTTATATGTACTGAATGTGATTTCTCAAGCAGTGGGGTAATATTTTTAAGGAGAAGGTTATGAAATGGCATTTAGGGGATGAAGCTGCAAAATGCCAACCAACAGATGATTTCAATAGACAACAATCATATAAACAGAACAACTGGGGTGCTCCAAATGACATTCTTTCACCCCACTAGTGAAAAGTTTAATTAGTATGTAAATAGCATACTCGTTTACAATTGACATAATGCCACATTTTCTCATGCTGAGCTGTCAAGGCCCATGAAACTGTAAAATTTCTGACACTAAACATTTGTTGTAAACTGATCCTTCCCAAAGTAACTTAACTAAAACTGAAAAGACAAGAAAGGTAGAAATTACTTAAAAATAAACATAAAAGGCCACTCTTCAAGACTGCCAGAGAAAAAGGCCCAAGCTGCTTTGGGAGGAAGATTTACCAGATTATATTGGGCTGAGGGTGGATTCTGTAAAAGAGGGGGAAATGCATGAACCACAGCCCCAGAGTGATGAAAAGCAAAATGGATAAAGGAAAAATGCCCTCAATTGACACAGTTATTTTCATCACATCAAATCAGCCATCTGTTCTTGACACAGTTTATTATCATTAGGAAGACTTTCTCAATTCAGACATGGTGATGAAGAAAGATGAAGAATTAACAGATAAATAACCCATTTGGAAAATTCAGGCTAAGACCCTTTCCCTCAATTTCTATGCCCTCCTTTCTCCTTGCTCCAATTACTCTAAGAAAAGCTTCAATGGCATGATTAGACATGTTTATGGTGGGTTTTTTTCCTCCCTCACATAAGCATAACAAACCACACACACTACGTTTGTACCAAATGATGCAAAGGTGATCAACACTGAACAAAAAAGCAATAATTTTGCAATGTTGAAAATGACTGCACAAACCAAGAATGACAGCTGGCCACAGTGAAAGGCAAAGGAATTAAATGCTACGAATCGAAGTCTAAAGGTAGGGACATTTTTGTCTGGAATTCATTCATGCACATGCATTTACCTCAGGACCAGAATGTTTAGAGAAGACAGCCTCTGAAATCATCAAGGGTGCCTCCAACAGCCCAGTGTGGGACAGCAGAAAAAGACCAAGTAAATGCAGAAAACTAATAATACAAAGAAAATATTTAACTCATATGATTGCCACTGGTTTCATAAAGTGAAGCTGGAAATTCACAAAAGTTAAGCTCATAAATCTAAGGGGGGAAAAGTTAAAATAAAACTCTTGACAAATATCAACAGACCAGCTTAAAAATTATCCAAGCTGGTTATTTCAGCTACTTAATGTCAAAAAAAGAAAAAGAAAAACCACATTTGACTCTCCCTCAAATAGTTCAAAGATTCGTAACGTTAGATTTCAAATACTCTAGCACACAGATTTTTCGATCAAGCTGGAACTAATACTTTTTAACTACAAACTTAGAAATGCTAAGAACAGTAACCATTAAAGTTAAGCCACACAGACTATTTTTCAAGACGTCTTCTGTCCTAACACTGACTTAGATAAGTCAGACATGGTGGCACATACCCTCTCTAAATAAATAAATTAGCTAATATCCAGATTATTTTGTGTGGATGTATCTTTCTTTGATTACATTTTAATGATCTTTTATTCTGATGATTGCTAAATGCTAGGAACACTTTTTATAACTTCTCATTCTGCATCCTTGTGGCTGTATCATTTTGCAATTGACATAATCCATTCTCAGTTTCATTTGCCATTGCCTCCCTATTTCTTTGTATATTCTTTGCTTCCTTTGTTTGCTACAGCAAAGCAAATACATTCAAAGTCACTTTAACACAATACTGATCATCTTTGCAAATGTACATTAAGCAAGCACTGTGCTAGACCATGGGTGTCACAAAGAGCTGGCCACCTGTGGTCTAGGGCCTTCTGTAGCTTAACTTTCCAGATCAGATTATATACATACATACATACATACATACATACATACATATATATATATATATATGGCCAAATCCAGCTTGACATCTGTAGATAGATTAATATAATTAGATTTTGTGAGAGCACAGACCTCTAATATATTGACATATTGTCTATAACTGTTCTTGGGCTATAATGAAAAAGCTAAGTAGCTTAAAATATTTGCTTCCTGGCTCTTTATAGAGAATGCTGATAGGCTCCAGATTCATCTCCAACCATCTCAGATTGTCCTTCCTGGGCTTGGCAAGTATGCTGCTGATTTCTGCTGTGTCAATGATAACATCCACAGAAATGGACTTTTGTTTGAATTTCAGACACTGATTCTACCTGCCTGCTTAGTTTAGTCTCTCAAACTCATACACCCAGAAATAATTAGCCAGTATGAGATAACTACTTTAGGGCTCTGGGTATGCTTTCCAGACAAATGCAAGATAGTGACTACAGTGACCTGTAGAGCACAGCAAGTGCCCTGGGAGGGCCTATGGGCCATAACAACCAGTTGACCAATCAACGCATGTCAGGTCATCCAAACCTGGAAGCATACCAATCCTGACACTGTTTCATACCCCTAGACTCTCCCTCCCCTTTTAAGATCTCCACTTTGCTGGTTCTTGGGGGCTTTCTCAGGCCATCTGCCATGGTGGAGGGATGAAGGGCACGAGCTAATGGGTTTAGCTTGTTAAACAACTACAATAAAAGACTCTTTGCTTTTGCATCAAAATGGGCCTCTTGGTGATTTTGGTTTTCAGAATTGGGCACAATACTTTAACATCTAGATAACAAGAAAAAAAGAGAAAGAGAGAGAGAGACAGAGACAGAGAGACAGAGAGAGAAAGAGAAAGAGAGAGAGAGAGAGAAAGTAAGGATGGAAGGAAAAAAGAGAAGGGATGGCAGGAAGGAAGGAAGGAAGAAAAGAAGGAAGGAAGGAAGGAAGGAAGGAAGGAAGGAAGGAAGGAAGGAAGAGACCTTTATTCTTTATATCTAATCAAGTTTTCTAGTTTCAATTGCCAATTCCTCATCCTGGGCCCTCAAACCCCACACTTTTGACTATTATGGTCAGATAAGAAACACCCTGTAGTCAGTCTCTGTTTACAAAGGCTTTGCCTTTTAGTCTCCTACCACCTTTCAGATATCACCCTAATCCACAGTAGCTTTCCAATGAAACTCTCAATCTTTGGATAAGGATCTCTTTTGTAAGGATGCCACAAAATTGCTTCCAATTTTCCACAGATACAGCAGTGCCTACAAGCAGTATTTCTTATGCTTACTATGCTGATTTGATGCGTCACAATCTCCATTTCCCAAATGTGCACAAATCCTGTGACAACTGAAATACAGAAGTGTTGACTGAAGTTACTGATTCTTTTTCTCATTTTGTAGTTTTCTCAGCAATTGATTCTAAAAGTGCAACTCCTTTTTGACTGTATTTTATAAGATAAGGGTCCTCAGAGGCCACTGAATGCTTACTCTATCCTTAGGGAGGACTTTTAACGATTCACAATGTACCTATGGGAGTGCAAGGCCTCAATATTAGAGAAAAAAATCAAAAGTTTAAAATAGCTAAATGTTACTTTCTCCTTCCCTCTCTTGGCTTTTCACCTTGGTGAAAACTATGGATTTGTAAGACTTTATGGGGTTTCAGAAAAACCTTAGGGAAATGAATCCCCAAACCTACTATGTTTCTAGACATCAAGGGAAAGGAACTTGAGGGTCCTAGGTATTTCTGCATAGTCCAGCTCTGATGGTGAACATGAACAGATAAACGTGGGAAAGGAAGCTATCAGAAATGATACGACAGAATAAGCTGCTCTGACACAAGGGGAAAAAACAGAATTGGGCTGTAAATGACTCACTGGGGATGTGTTGGTGTTTATTTATGCCAGCCATTATAGTATGCCTTTTAACTTCAATTTAAAAAACAATGCACATATTAGGAGAGACCCATGATGTGCTATGTTCATACTGTTAAACAGCAGAAGCAGGACTTGAAACTAGTTCTACATGACTTTCAAGCTTCTCCACATTTTATTAACCACAAAGCTATCATTTCTGAATAGTTTTGAAGAATTTCCAAGTCATGGCTTTCATGAAGACCATTGTCCAACCATCTTGTGTATGATAATCCCTTTCTATATACCAACAGTTATTATCCCATTAATGGAAAAGACAGTAAATATTTATAAGATATAAGTCCACACACTGGATATGACAATTCTTTGAATATATAAACAATTAAAGGCTGTACTAAGAAGAGCACTGGCTCTCTACTGAGAAACTTTGGTCCTTACAGAACCTAATGTCTATAGGACCTAGCTCAGAATGGAAGTCATGACTGCTGTGACTGATTTGTGCCTTAAATTCATTCTCCAAGTGAGTCAGAAAGATACCCATGATTCCCTGGAGCTCAATCCCTCCTGTTGCACCATGCTGAAGGAAAGTGCTAGAAACTCTTTATAGCTGGAACTTGCAGAGTGCAGCTCTCCAAGCTGGCTCACATGCAAGTAGAGAGTAAGTAAAATAGGAATAAAATGATGACATTTTTCAAAAAACAGCTCTAGGTCCTTGAAAATGATTATTTCTGTTTGCCTGTAACTGTAAAAATGAGTTTCAGGTAATAGCCTTTCTTTTATATAGTAAATGATAAATGACCATTTAAACATTGACTCATCTACCAACCAAGATAGAAAAAAACTATAAAAACTTACTGTGCTGAAAGGGAATGTGAAGACAGAAGTCACCTGATTTTTCAACTAGGTGATTACACCATGGGGATATTCATTTGTCTTTGCGTCAACTCTGGAAATACATAAAATATATTTTGCCAGACAAGAAAATCAAGCCCTTTAGCTTCTACAGATTATATTTTCCCCAACCCCTAAAAATGTTTTCTTCATCCAAGTTAGTATATATCCGCTTAGACTTTGAAAATTGTGACAATCAAAGACATCCAACAAAAGTGACAATATTCTTCTTTGAATATTTATTTCCTCAAGTGGGCATGTAGGAATTCTAGCCACTAGTAGGGATCAGGGCTGCCACAGACCAGGGTGGGGGAAGAAATGAAAGGAAAGGAAAGGAAGGAAAGTTCATCCAAGAGATGGATTTTTACAAAAACTTACTGTAATTTGAAGTCATTAGTTTTTATTTTCCATATAATTATAAATACTCCTTGTTTAGTTTCCACAGCACTTCAACAGCACTAGTAATCCAGTTACAGAAACTTTTAAAAGAGATAAAAGGAAAGAGAGAGACAGGGAAAGGCCAGAGTGTTAATCATTTTCTTGTTTCAAACAAAAGGAAATACTAAGTATGTATTTCCTTTCCCAATTCCAAGTGTCACTGAATTTGATAGTCTCATTCTTTAGGCACAACTGCTGAGGGATAAATATCTTAGTCCTGAATGTTGATGTCCACCACTGCTCATCTTCTTACAGCATAATAAATTCTCAGCCAAATCCATCCTCCTCCCTATTAGCCTATGTTTCTTAACTAGAATTACAAAGACTAATGATTGTGTCACTGGGAAAAAGTATTGCCAACTTTTAGTTTCTGTTGACTACATTTCTTAAAGAATGAAAATCCATACTCCAACCTAGGCATTAAAGGATGGCAAAGTGAAGACTCCACTGTACTCACAAGAAAACTTTCTGTCTTTCTGTTTGTATGCAATTGTTCATCGGATTCCATCAGTTATGTCTGTTTCTTTAACACATGTATTCTAAAGGCAAACTGAAGAATTTCAACAGAAAATTAAAGAAGCCATGTAATCTCTCTCCAGTCTTTAGTTTTTAAATCTAATACCATTGCTTAATGTTGGTTAGAATTCGGAAAATACCTGCATCATCAAGTAACATTTAACAAATACACTGAGTAGCTAAGCCCAAGTGCTCTCTCTCACATAAAAAGATAGATACTTGTTGTGTGACTCTTAACCTGGGGAGATAGGTGCAACCTCCACTCACCACTGATGGAAAAAGTAGCAATGTCACAAAAGTGCAGCTTGATGAAACAATGAATCTTTCTGGGGTTATTCACAGGACTGTAGGTGAGGGATTACTTTCAGAAGCATGGGTTCCTCAAGGGAAAGCTACTTCTCTAATAGTCCATCATAGTCAGTATGACTATAACTCACAAAAGATGGAAATCCATTAACAGGAAAAGGCATTTAAGGTAGCCTCTCCACTACTGCTTAGTTTGCCAGTTGGTGTCATCCTTGTAGATCTCTGGAAATCTTACTAGTGCCAGATATCTTGTCAAACCTATAATGACTCCCTCTATTATGGTATCTCTCATCCTGCTTCCCCTGACTCAATCATCCTGCTTCCCCATGTCCTCCTCTCCCTTTCGCTTCTCCCCCCTCTCTTTTTCCCATCTCCCTCCCCCTTCCCCTCCCCCTCCCCCATGCTCCCAATCTGCTCAGGTGATCTTGCCTCATTCCCCTTCTCTGGGGGTCCTTTCTGTTTCTCAGACTCTCTGACAGTGGGACTGTAGGCTGGCACTCCCCTGATTCATGACTAAAATCCATATATGAGTGAGTACATACCATGTTTGTCTTTTTGTGACTCACTCAGGATGGTTTCTTCTAGCATTGTCCATTTGCCTGCAAATTTCAAGGTTCCATTACTTTTTTTTCTGCTGAGTAGTACTCCATTGTGTAAATGTACCACATTTTCTCTATCCACCCTTCAGTTGAAGAGCATCTAAGTTGCTCCCAGGTTCTGGCTATTACAAATAATGCTACTATGAACATAGCAGAACAGATGTCCTTGTATGAATGTGCATCTTTTGGGTATATGTCTAAGAGTGGAATTGCTGTGTCTTGTGGTAGACTGAGTCCCATTTACCTGAGGAATCTCCATACTGATTTCCAAAGTGGTTGTACATATTTGCACTCCCACCATCAGTGGGGGAGTGTTCCCCTTTCTCCATATCCTCTCCAGCATGAACTGTCATTGGTGATTTTGATTTTAGCCATTCTGACAGGAGTAAGATGGTATCTCAGAGTTGTTTTGATTTACATTTCCCGGATGGCTAGGGATGTTGAGCACGTTCTCAAGTGTCTCTCAGCCATTTTAGACTCCTCTGTTGAGAATTCTCTATGTAGTTCTGTAGCCCATTTTTTAATTGTATCTTTAGTGTTTTGGCTATTGCTTCTTGAGTACTTTTTAAATTTTGGAAATCAGCCCTCTGTTAGATGTGGGGTTGGTGAATATCTTTTCCCACTCTGTGGGCTGCTGTTTTGTCTTGTTGGCCATGTCTTTTGCCTTACAGAAGCTTCTAAGTTTCAGGAGGTCCCATTTATTAATTGTCAATCTCAATGTCTGTGCTACTGGTGTTATATTCAGGAAGCAGTCTCCTGTACCAATTCATTCAAGAGTACCTCCCACTTTCTCTTCTAAGAGGTTCAGCCTCTTTGTCAAAGATCAGGTATTCATACGTGTATGCGTTAATATTAGGGTGTTCGATTCTGTTGGTCTACCTGTCTATTTTTGTGCCAATACCAAGCTGTTTTCAGGAATATGCCATCCTAGAACCTTCATCCAGTGACTAATGGAATCAGAGGCAGACATCCACAGCTAAACAATAACTGAACTCCTGGAACCCAGTGACAGAGAGGAAGGAGTGATGAGCAAAGAGGTCAAAACTGGGCTGGTGAAACCCACAGAAACAGATGACCTGAACAAGGGAGAGCTCTTGAGCCCCAGACTGATGGCTGATCATCCAGACCCCCTGAATGTGGGTGCCAGTGAGGAGGCCTAGGCAATCTATGGGACCTCTGGTAGTAGATCATACAAATAGACTTTGGGTGCCCATCCCACAATGAGGGATGCTCTCTCAGCCTGGACTCTTGGGGGAGGGCCTAGACCTTGCCCTGGATGAAATGACAGACTCTGGAGATTCCCTACAAAGGGCCTCACCCTCCATGGGGAATGGAGTGGGGATTGGACGGGGGCAAGGGGGCAGGAGAAGAGGGGAGGGAGAGGGAGCTTGGATTGACATGTGAAGCAAGCTTGTTTCTAATTTCAATAAAAAAGATGGAACCCTGTAGCTTAAGTGGAAGGAGATTCTTTTCCTCAGAAGCACTTATTGCTCACATAACCTTGGTGAGGGCAAAGTCTTGTGAATCTTGTACATTCCAGGGATTTCCTGAGAGTTGTGAGGTGTTTCTTTTCTAGTTTTTAAAGTTCCTTCTTCACTGTGGAATGTTTCAACTCAAGTGAATTCCTAAATTTCAACACACACACACACACACACACACACACACACACACACTTGTGCTGTAGTCACAGTATATGGCTTTTCTACTAAACCTTATAATATACCTAGTTTTTTGATAATTGTTCCCATACATAGATCACTCTGTAAATAATCATAAGAGATGAAATATTTATTATTTTCACAGTATTGGATATTAGACAATAGAGATACATTTCTTGAAACCATTATTTAAAGGTTATAAAGCATTTGATTTGACTTATGTTACATCATAATGTATTAGAACACTATATTAAATAAAGTAAAATAGGTCTTCTTTCATTAATATCTCAAAAGAAGTATATATTAAGTCTATATGTGACTTTGCAATTGAGAAATATATTAATATATTTTAAGTCATGGAGAAAAGTGCCAAAATCATATTTAAATTAGTCTAAATTCAAACATTTCAAAATAGCTGTCCTTAGCTTGAATTAATTATCAATTTTTTTCCATTTGTTTTGAAACAGTTTGAAATACATATTAGTTTCCCATTACTATTAGAACAAATCATAAATACAGTGACTTAATAAAATGCAAATGTATTTTCCTACAGTGCTGCAGGTAATGAATCTCAGAAGGCTAAAATAAAAATGTAAAGTGTTTTCTAGAGACTGTGATAGACAACCTACTTCCTGACTTTCCCACATTTGATGGCTGCCACATCACATCCTTGGTTTCTGGACCACTTTCTCATTTTCATAGACAGTAAGACTGAACTGAGAATTCCTTAGATTTCATCACTCTGACTTATCTCCCCTCATCCATTTTGAAGGACTCCTGTGATTATATTAGACCTGATCAGGTAAACTTTCTAATTAAAGTCAGCAGATTATCCACAAATTTGTTTCCATTTGTGATCTTCATTTTTTCTTTGCCATAAGTCACAACATATTTACAAATTTATTTGTTGTTTTACTATTTGGCAGTGTTGGTATTGAACTCAGGACCTTGTACCTGCTAGTCAATCACTCTACCATTAATCATCATCCCAAATACCTATGTGTGCTATTTTAAGGGGGGAGGAGCTAGTTGGCTCAAATTTAATAAACAAGCATTTTATAAATTTAAAAATGAATGTTTTTACATTTTAACCATTATTAAAAATACATGTTTGAGCTTAAAAGTGAAATATTATCATAATGTAAGCTGTTATAAATTATGTTTTTAGAGCTATGTCTCCAGAATTACAACGGCTAGCCTTTAATTTAGGAAAATACAAAAGTGTGCCGCTTGTGTTACTTTCATCAGCTGTAAAAAGTTAAACTCAGTCTTCCAAACTGAGCCTCTGATGGCTTGTAAAGCTTCCTTTTACGTAAAATCAGCTAAGCAGTCCTCATTTTGAGCTGTTTGTTTTAATTCCTCTCTTGTTGCATGGTATTTACTTTTATTTATTTGTGTGTTTTAAGTATTCTTTCATTTATTCTTTGAGTATTTCATATGTGTATACAATGTGCTTGATCATATTCTCCTCCCCACTCCAACTGCTTCCAGGACATCTTATTCCAAAATATCTCACTCCCAACTTCTTTTTGTTTTGTTTTTACAACAATCCAACGTCTTGTTTTTTCTTTTTTCTTTTCTTTTCTTTTTTTTTTTTTTAGTACTTGGTCAAGTTAGTGCTACCCTTATACATTTTTTCATGCTTCTCCTACCAAGGGCAACATTTCTTAAAGAAAACTGACTCTCCTTTCCTAGCTGCCATCAACCAGCAATTGTTCTCAGCCAGGGGAGGGGCCTCATGAGCCTCTTGCTGTCCATGTTGGGATGTCCACTGGCTTGTCATGTGCAGGTAACAGCAGCCACTATGAGCTCATGAGGGTTATGGGCCTGTCATGGGCAGAAGTCACTTTTGCACAGCAGCCCTTCCAATCTCTGGCTCTCTCATATCTTTCTCTTCTCTCTTCCACAGTGTTCTCTGAGCATTGGGGGGAAGGACAAAAATGTCCTTGTAAATGTATTTGCTGGATCCTTATGTGTTACTCTTTTTACTATGGCAACTGGGTTCACCATGACACTGGGAAGCTCTGGGTACATTTTTCTGCAGTTCAAAAAGGTTGAGTGTTATGTGGGGTACCCGAGGCTAACCTTGTGTTTCTCTGCCTTCATAACAACAAAATACTTTTTAATCAATCTACATTTTTACCCAACTTTACCTAAGAGTATAACATTTCTAATCTATTTAATTAGTATTTTCTTTAATTGCAGGGAAATTTTCTACATCTACCTTGTGTGATTTTTTAAATTTTATAGTTTTTTTCTTCTTCAGGGATTCTCTGTACAAATTACGTGAAATCATCTTTATCATTTTTATAGCGAGTTATTTCTGATTGCTTTTGTACTTATAACTGGCCCCCACACACACTTATTCTGAGTATCTTAAGATTTCTCTAGGTCAAAAATTAAGTATAGCTGTGTTTACAGATCTACGAGATGAGTAGGAAAGGTTAAGCTGATGTGACCTACAAAAAGAAGTTCTTATATAGTGTCTTTGAAGCTATGTTCCTGCAACACTGAAAATCTAAACCACATTTACTTCTCAACAGCCTAGGGTGCAAGTTTGTGTAGATCATCTCATTTAACCTTTAAATAATTCTGAGACATAGACAGACAATATTCTTTCTGTTTTTTCAGATATGTGTAAAAGTCGATCACCCAAATCACTCCTCTACAAGCAGAACAGTAGATGATGTCAGTTAAAAAATAATAATAATGTCATTTGAATAATCTGATCTTTTTCTCTTTTGATCATTTCCAAAGAAAATACTTATTTCCCTAGGTCCCTCTGTAACATATTTGTACTATATACCTTGATGAAGTAAAAACAACAACAACAACAAACATCATTCAACATTGACCTTGCAAAACATTTCTTCCCATCTGAGTTCTGACTAGATCCATCCCTTCTTAGCTTCTGAGACCAGAAAAAGAAAGAAAGAAAAAACTGGCACATTTAGGGTGATATGGCTGGAGTTCCCAGCATACCTTTCTGACAAGGTGAAAAGACATTTTGCTATAGTGTTGAGAGTTAGGGAAAGGTTTCACTTTTCTGATACAATGGGCAAGGCAGACATCTCAATCTCTTTCCTTCTTCTCTGCCTTGATAAGTGTGCATTGCCAAAAGATGGACTGTTACTGGAGTCTTGAGGAAAAGGGCAGGAATAAAACTGATAGGATTCACTTCAATAGGGCTGACTCATGCCACCAATACCACTGCCTTCCTTCCTCCACGTCCTAATTTCTTGAGACAAAAAGCCTCCCTACACACAAGTCATGAGTAATTGTTTACATTACTGAAGCATTCTTAATACTTTCAACCTCTGATATTGTCCATGCAATGAAATATCTTCAGCTCAAAATCACGAATACACTTATCTTCAATTTACATCATAAAATACTTGATACTTTTCCTATCTTTTTCTTATAATTAGAAAGATTAATTAAGGATCTGTGACCTCACCTGGGAAGAAATAAAACCTCCAGCATTTTAACTCACTGGGCAAGTATTCAAAATGAATTGCTCCCAGAAGCAGAGTTAATTTATGCCAGTTGAATAGAAAATAATATTAGTTTAATTCATTGTGTTTCCAAGTAAATCAGAAGAATAACAATGACTGAAATTTCTTTGTGTACGAATCTAAATATTTTTCCTTATTTGCAAGACTGTATTAGACACTGAATGATTATTTTCATTTACATGGTATAAGCAATTCACTTTCTCATACATCTTAAAAGTCTACCTACACAAGAGATAAGAATTATGCTGTTTTATATTAAAATTGATATAATTTCATGAATCACTTTCATTGGCTGATGATTTATAAACTATTTTCCTCTGGAAAACCTCATTATTTTTAAGACACTACTGCCACTGCTCTCAGAAAGAAAAAAAAGAAAAGAATCCAACTTTACATGTACCTACCATATTGTGCCAATTTACAAGTTAGGAGTGATTTGGGCAAAAATTTTAATTGGTTTTGAATTGTTCAGTTTGTCTCAGGACTACATAAACATTAAATAATTCAAGGAGGAAATGAAACCTTATAATGTAGCATACTAAAGTTGTTTGGGCAAGGGTTTTTTTTTTTTTTGCAATAATCAGATAATTATATGTAACTAGTCATCATTACTTGAAACAAATTACTTTCTGTTGAAGCATGAAAGAGGTTTCCTGGCACTATTCTGAGCTCAACTAATCTTATTGACAATAGGTGTCTGTCTGCAGAACCTGTTCCTTGATTCTGTGGATGGGTTATATTCAACTGTCCTCACATTTTCTGTAACTAGAACTGGTTCTGTGTTTGTGTCCTGGAATTGCTCTTTGGGATATTCCTAGGGAGTTTCCCTTGGGGGATGGCAAAGGACAAAGTCACAGCCAACTCTGTCATCCTACTGAGATGGTGGTAGATCTGCTTTCACATGGAAGAGTGGACACCCTGGAAAGATCACCATCCGTGGGGCACATGACTTCTTTATTTAGAAATCATAACCTGAATTAGTTTGGGTTTGAGCATGTTATTACACAGGAAGACTGTCATTATTGAAATATAACCTCAATACACTGTATTTTAACCACAATATAATTTGTCCATCTTTGTGTATTAGGAACCTATCTATTCTAGATTTAAAACATTTCAAAAATAATATGCATCTATAACCATTATGCCACAAAACACACATGAGGTAAACTGTAGTAAGTTTAAAGACAAAAAGGGAAAGATCAGCTAATTTTAATAACTCACAATGTATCCACTGGAAAGCTTTGGGTTAAATTTTTCATTGATGTTATTTATAAATGTTCTAAATTGTCCATCATTGGATAGCTATGTTCTACACATGACAAATTATCTATTTTCCATACCAAATGCTACAAGTGGGATTTACTTTCATACATGGGCCTTATGTTTTCCTCTAGAAAAAAAAACTCTCTCATACTAGTTTTTGGTGCAATTTGGTTTGTTTTTGGTTGTTTTCTGTGGATACCATTTCTCTTTTTGTCCTTCCGCACAGCACAATGCTCTGCTTTAATCCCTACAGCCACAGTCTACATTTCACAGTCTGAAAAGGACACTTTTTCACTTGGCTCTTCTTTAGAAGCAATTCTCATTTCAGAATGAGCTCACAAGGATCAGTCATGGGGTTTCAAGTGGAATGGGAGTGAGGTTTGCTCACCTGAGATGTACTGGAACAAAAGAAGAGTTGTTTGGGTATTTTCACAGTTCTGCAGTAGTTGTCCTATAGATTCTGTGCCATGGTTTGGAGTAAGGCTGGGCATGTCTTCATGGACATTCATTCCTCATGTGAAGGTTGAAATCAGGTGTCCACAGCTGGCCCTGCTGGTGAGAGCTTCTCCAATTATCTCCATGTGACTTCCTTACTTTCTTGTGATGTTGTGAATAGATTTCTGGAACAATCTATAAAGGAGATAACTTGAGCTTATGTAGTTCTGTTCAAAGTTCTTGCTTTTAAGAGTTACACTGTGCCAAATGGGGGTAGTTCAGGCCTTTAATCTCACCACTTGGGAGGCAAAGGCAGAGGTAAAGACATTTTTCGAGTTCCAGGCCAGCCTTGGCTACAGAGTGAGTTCCAAGACAGTGAGGGCTACACAAAGAAACCCTGACTTGAAAAACAAAACAAAAGAAAACAAAACAAAAGAGCAATGCCCTGGAGCCCTGACCAACCCCACCCCCACCCCCTACACACCTTTTCTTTCTTTTATGCTGCTTAGGTTCAGCCTGAGGCTGTAACATCACAAAGCATCAGCACAGGAGGAACTTCATTTACTTCCTTCTTTCCTTCCTTCCTTCTCCTCCCTCCCTCCGTCCCTTCCTCCTTCCCTCCCTTCCTTCCTCTGAGAGGTTTGTTTTATTTAATATTAATTTATATTTTATTTATTTAGAATTTCATGTATTTTATTTCCCCTCCATACAGTACTCGATCAAACTCCCCTCCTCTTCTTCCCACTCCCTCTCAACTTCATGGCTTCTTTACACACACACACACACACACACACACACACACACACACACACACACACACACGTTAACAGACTCAGTAGGTTGTATGTGTACATATATTTCTCATATCCTGTTTAGAATTGACTGAAAAATATGAACACACACTCACACATGGCTTGCTGAGTCCCTTTAGTGTTGCTCATATCTGTATGTGCTTAGGAATGACCACTTAGGATTGAATAAGTGTGGGCAGAGTTTTCTTGTCCTGACTGCTGGTTCCAAAATAAATGCACAGAAATTTAATACTAATAAATGCTCAGTCAATAGCTCAGGCTTATTACTAACTAACTCCTACATCTTAAGTTAATCCATATTCCTCATTTATTCTCTGCCACATGGTGGAATGTTTTTTAGCATGGCACATTCATCTCCTGCTCCCTCTGTATCTAGCTGGTGACTCTTGACTCCACCTTTATTCTTCTCATCATCCTCAGTTTGATTTTCCCACCTAACTTTATCCTGCCTTGCTATAAGCCAGTCAGCTTTTTTATTAACCAATGAGAGTAACACATGTTCAAAGTGTACAGGATTATTCCACAGCAGAGAAGCTATCAAAATGTTCATTCCTGGAGAAGGCTTATTTGCCTCTTATCAGCAGCCCTCAACTGCCTATATCTCTTTATCTAGAGTGAGATCTTGAGAGATTTCCTCCCCTCTTGCTGGAAGGTCAACTAGCATTCTTGCTGGAAGGTCAACTAGCATTGTTATTATGCAGGGCTTTTTTAGGTAGCCATATTGTGAGGTTTCGTGGGAGCATATCCTTGTCATAGAAGATTCTACTTCTTAGGAGATGTCCTGGTCCTCTGGTCCTTCTAATCTTTCTATCCTTTTCTGAGATATGCCCTGAGTCTTAAGTGTAGGGGTTGTATTGTAAATGTATCAACTGGGCACTGAACAGGCATTCTCTTAGTTTTGACCAGTGAAGGATTTCTGTGATAGCATCTCTACTGAAAAAAGAAGGTTCTTAAACAAGGAGAAAGATAGAAGAATGGGTATTTAGAATGATTTAGGATACTTGGCAGTGGTAGCTTCTCCACTAGGGTCCATGATTTTATCAGCACAATAGTTGGCTAGGTGAACAATATCAGGCAAGAATTCTCTTCTATTGGGCAGACATTAAGACCAATTAGGTGTCTATTGGTTACCCCTGAGATAAGTGCCTTGGGTGTATCTTATCACTCTGGTCACTGTTGTGAGCAGGGTTTAATTGCTATTCTCTGGTAGCATGCAGTGCACAGGATATTTTGAGAGCTAGTCCAGACTGATTATTTCAAGGGATAGATCTGAAGTATATGCTGTCTTAAGGAATAAGTGTTTGTATTCAAGTTCTGGTTGGCAACTAGGGCAACTAGGGCTTGGAGTCTCTCAAGATCCCCTGACTACTAACTGAAAGGTTTTGTGAGACAGTTGCTTTGGAGGGAGCGTTCTTACCCCAAGTGATGTAACTTCATTTATATTATTTGTATGTGCATATGCACACACTTATATACATTATATAAGTATTTTAGGTAAAAATAAAATAATGTTTCCTCTATTGTCTTTTCAATTATCCTTAGTAATTTTCATCCCACCTTTACCTCAGTATTCTTAATAACCAACATAAAAGCCAACACTTTTTTGCCATTTCTTGGTTAAATATGGTCTTGATAGTTACTGCCTATTAAATTAATGTAATTTTCCTTCTTTTCTTTTAAATTTTCATATGTGTGTGTGTGTGTGTGTGTGTGTGCGCGCGCACACGCCCTTATTGGAGGCTTTTGTTGCATCTATTAGGTAACATTTTCTGTATTTCTTTATTTGCGTGCTAAATTAAGTTTTCTAAAGTATAATTAATCTTCTCTGGAAAGATTTCAGTTTTATTCCACCTAGTTAGATTTCAATGTTAGATTATTTAAAATGTTTCATTTAGAATTTTTGAATTTTAATTCAAAAGTGAAATTGGCTTGTGATTTTTTTCATGCCAGGTTTAAGGTTGACCAAAATAAAACTGAACATAAAATTGAGCTTTAGAAAGTCCCATTTAATTAATACTCATGACAGAAAGTGGTCTTGTGTGGTAAAAACTAAGATACATTGATACTTGTTTTATAGGGAAACATCTTCAGTTTTCTAAACTGTCTGTTTGTCCTTGAGAGGCATAGGTAACTTTTTGCAAAGTCCAGATAATGGCAATCATTGGTGAAATATAACATGGGAAGAGAGTTTTAGTGAGGGACTGTCTACCTTGATCAGGTTGGCCCATACGTGTGTCTGTGGGAAGCCACCTAATTGACAGTGATATGGGAAGACTCACCCACTCTATTCCCTGAGTTTGGACTCTAGGTAAGAGTAGAGGAAACTATCTGAGAACTAGACATGTACACATTCATTCTCTCCTGTGGATGTGATATGAATGGGTGTTTTAAATCTCAGCTACCCTTTACTTCTCTGCTGTGATCTATTGTAACTTGAAATTGTGAACTATTAATAAATTTGTAGGTAATAAAACCTTTTTTCCCTATGTTTGGTCAGGGAATTTTATCACTGCAATAGAGATGACACCAGACCAGGCTATAATGTAACGTTAAGTATTATTCCTTAACACATCCATTCAAAACCGGATTGGAATATCATGCCTAGGCTTAAATTTTCATTTGAAGAGAATAAAGGAAACAGTGCAATTTCACATCATAATTAAGAAATCAGAAAAAATCACAATGACACATCTTGAGAACAAATTCAGCTTCTCAGTAGCTGAAGAAACACAGGAGTAGATGGAAGGGAAACAAGGAACTAATGGCACATATCAGGCGATCAGGAGGCCCTAAGTAGACAGTAAACTGGACTCGCGCAACACCGTGAAACTGTTCCTAGCTTGACCAGGCATAGCCTTTGCTGTGGTTATGTACAAACAAGTCCACATTTTTAGAGACTCTCTCAAAATTGTGTTGGGTGGTATACGTTGTTTTAATTTTGGAAAGAAACAGGAATATGGGGCATATTCTTTATATGTGCTACAGAGCAAGCTTCACGTTTCTTTTCTGACTTGCATGTCACTTTTAGTGACAGCTTTTGTTTAAATATCATTTTCTTAAGTTTTATTTGAAATACTTTTTCAAACAGTTGTATTAGTTTGTCTTCATAATAGTTTTAAGATTCTATTTACGTGTGTGAGTCTATGTGAGTTTCTATGTTCTGTGTGTGTGCAAGATCCTACAGAAGAGGGTGTCAGATCACCTGGGACTGGAGTGACAAGTGGTTGTGAGTCACCATCTGGGTGTTGGGACCAAAACCTGGGTCCTCTACAAGAACAATAATTACTCTTAACCACTGAGCCACACCTCAAGTTTCCAAAATTCTTGTAACCTTGACTATGCATCTGAATTCTATGTAAAGTATCAATATGCATAATGTACATGCATGTATATGTATAGTGTGTGTGTGTGTGTGTGTGTGTGTGTGTGTGTGTGTGTGTGTGGTTATGGGTATGTGCATGTTAGAGCAGGTGCCTGTGGAGATGAGAGACATGGATTACACTAGAGCTAGAGTTAACAGGTGTTCTTAGCGGTTTAACCTGGGTGCTCAGAACCCAACTCACCTCCACTAAAGGATTAGGACATGCTTTTGGCAGCTAAATCATCCCAAAAAATGTCTGAGGATAAGACTCCGCTTAATATATTTTAGGTGCCTAATATTTTTAGATTCTCTACTTTACCAAATTGTTTATGATTACTTAGGTTTTCTTGGGTTTTTTTGTTTGTTTGTTTTGTTTTGTTTTGTTTTTGTTTTTCAAGACAAGGTTTCTCTGTATTGTTTTGGAGGCTGTCCTGGAACTCGCTCTGTAGACCAGGCTGGCCTCAAACTCAGAGATTCACCCAACTATGCCTCCCGAGTGCTGGGATTAAAGGTGTGTGCTTCCAATGCTCAGCTGATTACTTAGTTGTTCTTAAAGCATCTGTTTTACCTGATATTTAAAAACTAAATTGAATGCATTGATGGGATACAACATTGTGTCAATGCATGGGTATTTCACATGTGATACTCATATTGGGGTAAACATATCTACCTCCTCCAACAGTTTTCATTTCTTTACACTCAAACCCAGTTCCAATTTTAAATTTTGTCAGTTTCTTTTAATGCACAGTGTCCTCAATATTAAGCCGTCTGTTCAATAATGTTTTTCCTGTTGGTAGCATGTGTAAAATGGAATAGTGTTTCCAGTCTTTACTGTTCAGCTACTTGCATTTATATATATATATATGTTTCTTTCACTGTATTGTTCTCTCATTTAGATTTCTTGTTGTTGGTAATATATTCATCCTTATTTCTGCCTTACTTTGAGCTAAAATTTTTCCTCCTTTTGTATTTGTTCCTGGTATCTTTATTCTCTGCTTTTGAATAAACAGAATATGTCTTCT